TTTTAATTGTACTTCAGGTGAAGGCTTACAGAACAAATAGTTTCTCATGAAACAGTAGTACACATATTGTTTTATGACATTGGTTAACAACCCCACAAAATGTCAGCTCTCTAACTTCTCAACCTATTTTTGTTTGTTTTTTTATCTTAGCCGTCCTGTTGTTGTTAGGTGCCGTCTAGTTGGTTCGACTCATAGTGACCCTAACCAAAAAACCAAACCAAACCCGTTGCCATAGAGTTGATTATGACTCAGCAACCCTACAGGACAGAGTAGAACTGTCCCATAGGGTTTCCAAGGGGTGGCTTGTGGTTTTGAACTGCCAACCTTTTTGTCACCAGCTGTAGCTCTTAACTACTGCACCACCAGGGCTCCATAGTGACCCTAGTGGAAGTGAAATGGTATCTCATTGTGGTTTTGATTTGCACCTCTCTGATGGCTAATGATGCTGAGCATCTTTTCATGTGTTTGGTGGCCATTTGAGTGTCCTCTCTGGTGAAATGTCTATTCAAGTCCTTTGCCCATTTTATGGTTGGGTTATTTGTCTTTTTGTTGTTAAGGTGTTGAAGTTTTCTATATATTTTTGTTTTTAGCTTCTTGTTGTGTACATGGTTTCTGAAAATATTCTCCCAGTTGATAGCTTGTGTTTTCACTTTTTTGGTAAAGTCTTTTGATGAACAAATGTTTTAAATTTTTATGAGGTCGCATTTATTTATTTTGTCTTTTGCAGTTTGTGCTTTTGTTATTATATTAGATAATCCATTGTTGAAAGCTAGGCCTGACAGTATTGTCCCTGCTTGTTCTTCTATGAGTTTTATGGTTTTAGTTTTCACATTTAGATCCTTAATTCCTTTTGTACTTGTTTTTGTGTATGGTGTGAAGCATGGATCCTGTTTCATTTTTCTGCATATGGAAATCCAGTTTTCCCGGCACCATTTATTGAAAAGACTCTTCTTTCCCCATCGAATGGACTTAGCACCCTTGTCAAAAATCAGTTGACCCTAGGTGTGTGCTTTTATATATTTCTATACTCTCAGTTCTATCCCACACTGGTCTGTGTGTCTGTTGTTATACCAGTGCCAGGCTGATTCGATTACTGTAGCTGTATAGTATGGTTTAAAGTCAGGAAATGTGAGTCCTCCTACTTTGTTCTTCGCAACATTGTTTTAGCTATTCCATGTCTTATTCCATATAAAATTGAGGATTTGTTTTTAAAGAATTTTGATCGGGATTGCATTGAATCTATAGGTCACTCTGGGTAGTACTGACATCTTAACATATTAAGTCTTCCAGTCCATGAACATGGAACATCTATCCATTTGTTTAAGTCTTCTTTAATCTCTTTCAGCAGTGTTTTATAGTTTTCATTGTATAAGTCCTTCATGTTTCTGGTTAGATTTTTTCCTAGGTACTTTATTCTCTTGGATGTTATTGTAAATGGAATTGTTTCCCTAATTTTCCTTTCAGATTTCTCACTGCTGGTGTGTAGAAACCCAATTGATTTTTGTTTATTTTCTTTATAGAATCATATCATCTGCGAATAGATATAATTTTACTTGTTCTTTTCCAATCTGGATACATTTTATTTCTTTTCCTTGTCTTATTGCTCTGGCTAGGACTTCTAATACAGTGTTGAATAGAAGTGGTGGGAGTGGGCACCCTTGTCATGTTTACTTTGTGTTTTTAAAAACACTTACATTAATGGTTTTCAGTCCTCGTTTTTTTTGAGATTTATTCATTCATTCATCCAAAATGATTTTAGTTAACTGTTACGTGCTAGGTATTGCTTTTGGTGTTGGGGATGCAGCTGTGAACAAAAAAGACAAAAATATGTGCTCTTATGGAGCTTATGTAATAATGGAGAGCTTCTTTCATGTATATAGATTTAGTTCATTCACTTTAATTGCTCCATAAAACCAAAAAAACCAAACCTGTTGCCATAGAGTCGATTTCAACTAATTGCTCCATAGTAATCCATTATATGAATAATTCACATCTGCCCCATTCCTCTCCTATTCCTGTGGTTGTCATGTGCTGTTCACCAACATCTCTAGCTCAACCTTCTTCTGGCACACAGTAGGATTATAATTCTGGCCTCTGTGTTTGGGTGGAGCC